GGCAGAGTGGTGAGCAGCAGAGAAATAGCCTTTCTGAAATTAGACGTCAAAATGCTAGAAGAAAGCAACATGTTCAGAAGAAATGGGGAACTGGGTTCTGGACTCAGGAAAGATCTGAAGTAAGAACTGAAGCCCATTGGGAGAGTGAATGGAGAGACCTCAGTACAGATGGGGTGGAAGTGAGGCTTACTCCCTGAGCCCATTGTGTGGGAGGGCAGCATGAATCCAAAGATGCCCTGTGACTACTTCTTACCCCAGAGGCCTCCACAGAGAAATATCCCAGTGAAACAGAACAGTGGCCTCAGTAGAATACAGTGGCTGCTGACTTGCTCAGGCTCAGACATCCCCCAGAAGAGGGTAGTTGGACAGTATTCTTCTTTCAGAAGGGCCAATTTACCCCTGAACTCAGAACAACTACAGGCTCCCTGGATCAGAGTAGGCTCTGAGTTCAAATGGATAGGAGATCAAGAAGCCAATGTAAAGACGTCAGGAGATACATGGAGTGTGATAAGCTAGCAAAGTCCGTTTTCAGCCTCATACCCAGAAACCAGCCTGAACTACAGAGGAAACAAAGGTTCAGGCTTGCTGGCATTATTCACTACCATGCCATAAAGCTACCGATGGCTTGCCAGGAGTCATCCAAATGGATCTGGATTCTGCGTACTTCATCTATCAGTAACAGCAGACAGGACTTGCAGTGCACTGCCTTTTCTGTCCCTTGTCCTCCAGCCTTGATTCTCATCTCTTCCTTTCCTTTCATTTCTCTATTTTCCCCCAACCCCTTTAAAATTTTCTCCGAAACCTAAAATCACAGTGCTTATTTACTATATGCAATTTTGATTTGTTTCAGATTTTCTTATATACCCCAAGTCTAGTTTATAGAGTTAAAAAGGTTCATGAATTGACTGGTACCACCTATTTCCTAAGCTGTGTTTGATGCTTTTGCTATTACTCATTGTACTACTTTAGCCAATGTGACATACTTTTCAGTGGTACTTTCTGGTATGCCAAATCTGAGACTGCCTAAAGGTCACAAGCAAGCCAGTAGGGCAAGGCCAAAGAGCCAGGACTGAGCCAAGTAAGCAGCAACTTCCCATCCCCAATAAACTGAAAAGTCCTGATCTTGGAAAAGAATCAGAACCCCAAAACCAGTTACATCTGGAGTACGTCTTGGATAAGTAGTCGTTTCTTAAGGGTTCTAAATACTAGCAATAATGATACTCACAATAAGCAGTTTACACACATCAAGGAGTTGAACTAAGAAAAAGATGATGAGATAACAATCATAAACATGTATGTACAAAATACCTGTGCACCCAAATATAAAAGCATTCTCCAAACCATCCTGCTTACACACATAGATAAATCTCTCTTCCCCATTCCCATCCCTGTCCTTCTCCTCAACTCAATAACTCTTTTCTTTCAAATAAGTTCATTCCATTTCCCCAGTATCTATTGTACTCTTCAGAATCCGTTTTCTGCTGGTCTATGGAAAGGAGCAGATAATGCTTACTTTTTTATCTTGTCTCCTTTTTTCAATTATTTCTCCCTTTGCTCTTCTTAATTTCTTATATATTTCTTTTTTCTTCCCATTTTTGTATGCATTTATCTGGTAACATGAATAACTGGTTGGAAGACAGCACTGCATTACAACAAAGACTGTGAAATTCATATTACTTTGTTAAGTGAACTTCTGTATCACTTGTAATATTTGTTTTAATACTATTCTGTACTCTCTTTATAAAATAAAAGGTAAAAAATATCACATATAAAACAAATATTAACCAATATTAAATATCAAATAAGCCCTAATGCAGTTGTAATGAGGCACCCTCTCTGTCTAAACATATCAAATGGACTAAAGGTCAACAATAAAATATCAGAACTCAAACAAACAGACTTAGTAGATGTCTACAGAGTATTTCACTCCACTACAACAAAATATTCATTCTTCTCAGATGCACAAAGGATGTTCTCCAAAGTAGACCACATACTAGCTCATAGAGCATGCTTAAATAAATTTAAAGGAATTAAAATGATCTTATGCATGTTACCAGACTATAGTTCAGTGAAATTGGAAAACGGTAGCCAAAGAAATCACAAGAACTTCATAAACACATCGAAATTAAATAATGCCCTCCTAAACAAACGATGGGTCACATATGAAGTTAAAGATGAAATTAGATAGTTTCTAGAATGAAACACTAATATCAGTACAACAAACTAGAATTTATGGGACACAGTGAAAGCAGAGGGATATTTATAATGGTGAATTGTCACATTAGAAAAACAGCAAGCTCAAATAAACTAGTGTGAAACCTCAACCTTCTACATAAAGAAGAGCAAGTCAAGTTGAAAGCTCTTATGAGGTAGGGAATTTTTAAAAATAAAGGCAGAAATGAATTCAGTGGGGACTAAGAAAACAATACAAAGAATTAATAAATCAAAGATTTGGTTCTTTGAAAATTAAAAAAGTGACAAGCTCTTATTTAACTTATAAAAATAAAAATGAAAAAGTAAAGCCTGGACTTCATACAGTTAAGAATGAACAGGACAAATTGCTACAGATTCTGTAGAAATCCAGAGCATCATCAATGCCTGCTTTGAGAACCTGTCTTATAATAAGATGGAAAATGCAGAAGAAATGGACAGATTCCTAGATAACATATGAATCACCAAAGTTGAATCAAGAAGATACAAAAATTCTCAAGAAATCAACAGAAGTCCATGAAATTGAAGATGTAATTAAAAACCTACCAGTAAATAAAACCCTGGACAGATTCATTGCCAAATTCTTCAAGAAATTTAGACAGGACTCATGCTGCTATTTCTCAAACTCTTTAATGAAAATGAAGTGGAGCTATGCCCCCATATTCATTCCTGGAAGCAAGCATTATCACGATACCAAACCAGGGAAGGATCCAAACAAAAAAGATAACTACAGGTCAGTCTCCCTAATGAGCATAGATACAAAAATCCTTAATAAGTTTCTGGCAAACAGAACGTAGCAAAACATGAAGATTATAAGGGTCAGTCAAATAGCTCAGCAGATTAAAGTGCCTGCTTAGGCAGACGCAGCAGCTGGGGTTCCATCCACATTCGGATCTGGCATGGCATGTGGTGCTGAGGATCAAACCCCAGTCCCTGTGCTTGCCTAAGCAGGTACTTAGTCTGCTGTGCTATCTTGCTTGCCCGAAGTCATGTTTTTAAAACATAGAAATTTAATTATCTTTTTCAAATGGATATTTGGTACTTCGTCATTCAAATGAAGGTGAGAACAATTACATTGTACCTATCAACTTGCAATGGATAAAATATTACAATAAATATGTAAATGCTCTATTCATAATGAGCTTGTTGTTTACAAATTTCATTTGAATTGTACATTTATTTCCGTAATAATTCACTCACCAAGTCAGGTTTGTATCAAAAGGCTTTTATTCAGTACTTAATTCAAACTGAAGTGGAAGAGCTTTGCAGACACACAGCCTAGAAACTGAGGGGAGAAATAAAGCTCAGACTCCAAGACAACATTTGCTTTATTTTTTAAATTAATTTTATTGAGAAATAAATAGCAATGAGAGTTTCAAAACTGATTAGTAGGACAGTTTTAATAATTAATACATTGCATATTTTTGTCTTTGTTGTGGTTATTCATAGTATAAGATGCAGACTTGATATCCTGTCCAAACACTTGGTACAAATCTTTCTTCTCATTGAGTTAAGAAAAAGTAACTGTATATCTATCCTATTTTGTATATACAGATACAAAATGGTCCTTCATTTGTATCCCCTTTTTGTTTACTTTTGTCAGAGATGGATATTCCATTGCCATTTAAATATTATAGGTGCGTGAATTCAGCAAAATAATCCAATAGAGTCCAGTAACCCATAATAGTCATGTGTTATCCGTAGGAACACTTGCTTTAGAACAACTAAGTTTCTAAACTCCAAAAGTGCTTCATGCAGATCCACCATGCTGGAATGAAAGTTCTTGCGACACATTGACACTAGTGACATTTTTTAGATAAGTAGGAAGCTACCCAAGTTTCTGAACTGCCATCTTTCCTGGGAAACTGGGAGACCCACCTTAATAAACTGATTAGGGTTCTCATCTATATACTCTTGTAGTTAGTATGGTAATAAATTAGCCACTTTGTAATAAGTTATTTTAAATTGCATCCTCCACTGAGGTATAAATTTCCTGTGACCGAGTTCCTCATGGTTCTAGCGCCACTTTCCCTGTGCACCAATCTTCTTTCTATCTCCTTGTGTGAGGATCCAAGGAGACTGCAGGGTGTTCCCCGAAGTACCAATGCTGTGTTCTTTTTATCTGCTCTCTGTACACTGTGAACTACTTAATTTTCTTTATAGTTCCAGCTGAACAATGTGTACTTTAATTCGACATGTAGAATGTAGCATGATTTAGTGCTATTTTGTTCATGTGTCCATATGTTAATAAGTTTTCTTAGAACATTGAATCTGTCTTCTTTATTCCAACTCTATAGCAATGCCCACCATATCCTAGATATAAATTAAATGTTTGTTGAATAAATGATGTGTGAAATCTTAGGCTTGAGATGCTAGTTGATATTTTTTATTGAACATAAAAAGGTGGCATAATGACTTTAAAGTAGTATTTATGTCCTACCTAAAATAATCTTCTACTCTATTTGAAACACAAATTATTAATGGTTTAATTCTTAATATATATGTAATAGATTCCATGTGGATATATTTTACTTTTTTATTCATAGTAGCTACTGTGGTATAAGTAAGAACATTAAAATGCTTAATAAGACTTGGTTTAATAAGTTAATATGCCTGTCTGTATAAATGGTATATGCTTATAGTGTATATTTTATATGGAGAGAAATAAATGTTTATATATAGAAATATATATATATATACATATATACATATTATTGATACTAAGGTGTTTGTCTATCCTACAAGCATATTACTGCACAAAGTAACTATGTTTCTTCTCACATTCACAGGATTATACCTTGACAATGTACTTTCAACAAGCCTGGAGAGATAAGAGGCTATCCTATAATGTAATACCTTTAAACTTGACTTTGGACAACAGAGTGGCAGACCAGCTCTGGGTGCCCGATACCTACTTCCTGAATGATAAGAAGTCATTTGTGCACGGAGTGACTGTCAAAAACCGCATGATCCGCCTGCACCCGGATGGCACCGTGCTCTACGGCCTCAGGTCTGTAGCGCCCATTTTAAATTTTAACTTTTTCCGAGAAGAACAGTTATTGCTTCTTATTGGAAGGCAGTATTTTACTCCTTTCCTTATTCCTCCTACAGTTGTGCTGATAAATGCTTAAACCTCCAACCTGTGATGTCCTGGAGCTTAGGGTAGCATGTTTGCAAAGGAACTTAACCTCAGCTGAGACTGTTTTTTTCTGAGTTATTGTCCAGTATCAGCTGTGGGCCCAAAAGCCGCTTTCTTTAAGAATGCAGATAAATGATATGAAAATAGCTGAGAGATGGGGTTTCTTTACAATGGAAAATAATGACAAATGTCAGATGATTGTTTGCAAACAGCAGATGCTGTTTATAAATTGCTCCTGAGCTGCCTGAAGTGGGTCACAGCGCTCTGGTGACAGAGCGCTCACTGTGCCCCCTCGTTCTTCCAGGAGCAATCTGACTTACAGATATAGTACTTACTCATATTTATTAATACAGAATTTAAATCTTAAATGTATATCCACATGAATAAAAAATGTGATATATTGGTATTTTGGATCATTATAATTTGTAAGATAAGACCTTTTTTTCTTAATTTTACTAAAAGCAGTGTATGGTTTCCTGGGGGTCAAAAAAGTTCAAGGACAGATTTGTTTTTTACTCTGAAAATATTTCAGTATAGAGAATATCTGTACATAGAAGAAGCAAGTTTGACAGTTTCTACTGCCCCAATATATTCTATTTTACATAAATATATTTTAACTCATGTTAATAATGACAATAACAATAGTATTACTCATTGACAGAGCACTTGCTGGGGGCTAGACACTGACCTAAATTGTTTGCCTACATTAGCACCCATCCCCCTACCCATGCAACTATCTGCAGTTTCACTTAACCCAACTGTGGTCTGAAAGTGTGAAAATATTAAATAGAAAATTCTAGAAGGACACTGCAGGTTTTAAATTATGTGCTGTTCCGAGCAGCATGATTGATTTTTAGCTGCTGTCTTACTCCGCTTCATCTTGGACAAAAATTGTTGCTCTGCTCCATGCAGGTTACACTGCTCAGAGGCTAGTGGCTCAGCAGCCCTCTTGGGGCTGAGTAGGCTAAGGCAGTACTCGGCGCTTGCATTGATGTAATCTAGTCATCATTTTCTTAATAATAGCCCCAGAGCACAAAGTAGTGATGCTGGCAACTCAGGTATGCCAAAGCGAAGCATCAGTGGTTCTACTTTCGGTGGAAAGGTAAACAAACATTTCTTACTTGATAAGGAAAGGAAAAACGTCCTAGGTTCAGGTTGGCAAGACTGATGCAGAGAAGGAAACTTAAATGTAAAATTGTGAAAGGCAAAGAACTTACTACTAGCTTAATGGTCACATCTCACACTGCAAAATTGATGCCAATAATATGTAAAAAATGTTTTATTAGCATAAAAGGCATAAATTTAGGGATTGGGTACAATTGAGTTTAACTGAGTTAAAGTTATCATAGTAGAGTGATATATAACATACCCATACATATAGTGGCTCAATTCATAATTGTTAAACTTGGAAGTGCCTAAAGACCCATCAACACATGAACATATAAATGAGTAAAGAAGGAAAATGTGGTATTTGTGTACAGTAGTGAACTGCTATACTATAAAGAAGGATTTTTTTGAGTCATGAATAGAAAAATGTGTTCATCTTGAAACCATATTGTTAAGTAAAATAACTCAAGCACACAAACTTCAGCATTATATGATTTCTTTTATATACTCAACATAAATAGGTTAAAGAACAGAATACAAAGTTGATAAAAGGAAACAGGTGGATAGATCTTTTGCAATAAAAGATGAAAACCAAGAGACAGAGCCAAAGAGGACATAAATCAAATTAAGAAAAGGCCGGTCAAATACTCAGCAGATTAGAGCGCCTATAAGTAGGCGCAGGGTTAGGGGTTCAATCCCTAGGCCTGCATGCTGAGACTGCAGTTGAGACTGAGCATGGTGGTGCGCACCTGTAATCCCAGCTCTTGGGAGGCTATAAACAAGC